TGACCTAAAACGACAGTCACTTGAGGAAGACGACTGCGTGGCAAGATTTGATTGGAACATTTGAACTACGCGTGTTTTTTAATTCAGAAAATTTATTAGCGTTTTTTTATTATATATTATTTGACTTTGGTTGTCTAACAGTAACAGTTAAGTGGCCCAGGGGCAAGAAGGAAGGGTGATAAGGCGTTGCGGGTGGGAGGTCAGGGGTTCGACCCGTGCTTCTTACGTTTTCCAGTTTTTTTTCAATGTTTTTCTGCAGATCCAGTGGTTCCATGCTAAGCATGCTTACCATATGTTCCATCATCATCACCATCAGATCAATCATCCTCTAGATCCAACGCTCCAAGGTGACAGCTCCATGGTGGACCTTCCCAAGCGTGACAACACCAGATCCGACGCTTGCAAGGGGCCAACCAGATATGGGCTTTGGAACTTCAGCAGCTCACCCCCCATTTGGGTTTCACACCCCCATCAGGCCCATTCTTTTTACCGTTTCTTTATTTTTTATCTAATTTCTTTTTTATTTTAATTATTTCAAAACAAATCAATTTTTTTTATTAAATCATAAAATCAAATAATCACAAAAAATAGGATTTAGTTTTTTTAATAAATTAATTTTCGCAAATTAATCATTTTAATTAACTTTAATTTTGTTTCATTAATTAAAATTATTTAGAAAAATTAGGTTAAATTTCAAATCTTTTTCATAAAAAATCCCAAAAATATTTTCAATAATCAAATTAGATTTTTAGGGTTTTTGAACTTTTTTCAGTTTTAATTCTCGCGCGTTATTATTTTGCCATACGATTATTTTTTTTATTGATGTAACTGCACCCGATTTGTAATAGCTTTAATTAGGGTTTTTCAATTCCGCATTTGTACTTTCAGCCATTCTTTATATATCTACACCAAAACCCTGTAATAGCGTAAGACCCTTTATTTCTCGCTTTTATATTTTGTATGCTTGTATATAACTGTAAATACCTTAGGTGTGCATGACAAGATAAATCAATCAATCTGTAGATCACTAAATGCACAAGATAAAAGAACATAATCAAGCACACTTGCACATGCTCACCCCTAGGGCATCTCCCACTTTGGTTGCCTTCGAATACAGTCACAATTCTCGAAACGTGAGAATCCTTAGTGGCTGTCCTTGAGTCTAAGAGATCACTAGTCCCTCGATGACCCTCTTGACTGTTGCCTCGTTTAAAAAGTGATCTTAGGGCTTTAGGACAGTTACTAAGAATTTTTGCCCAATTGCCTTTAGTGACTGTACGTCCCTTTCGATAGTCCCTCAAACATCCAACGACTAGGGCTACCTACTCACTAATAGTAGGAAATCACTGTCTAAGGGATAGGAGGAAAAGAACAAACTTTTTTCAAGTAGGTAGATAACTGTTAGGTACTTGCTCAAACAATTCTTTTTACACACCACACTTTCAAACACTTTTCAAACAAAGTTTTCAAAACGCTTTATCACACTCTTGAGGACTGATACAAGGGTTATCGTAAAGCGAATCACCGCACTAAGGCACTTTCAAACAAAAACTTTTTCACACAAACACGAAAGCAATTTTCAAAAATGAGCAAGTACCTAAGAGCCCGTAGAAAACTACGGATGGAAAGGGTGCTAACACCTTCCCTTTCCATAATCTACCCCCTTACTCAGAAACTCTCGAAAAAAGGTTTTTTTCTGTTCTTTTCACTCATTCCTTTGTTGGATAAAAGAAAAGTCGGTGGCAACTCTTGCTTACCGCGACATTTGCAAACACAAACACAAAACCAGTATTAAACAGTCGGTTCTGCCACCGTACCACAGCTACTAGTAACAAACCCGTGCATACGCACAGGTTCTGGTCTGGTACGCGTATTTGTTTACATAATATATTTATTTTAAATATGAGGTTAAAAAAGAAAAAAATATTTAAATTAATAATAGATTTTTCGTATATAAAAATATTTAGATCAATAATAGATTTTTTCTCGTATACTATTTTAGGATGATAAATACCATTTTTTGTATATAAAAATATTTAAATTAATAATAGGTTTTTTCCCTTATACAAATATTATTTTTGTTTAGGTATCGTTTACAAAAATATTTAGATCAAAAATAAATTTTCCTATATAAAAATATTTAGATGAATAATAGATTTTTTTGGTATACCATTTTTGAATAAAAAATATTTGGATCATAAATATCATTTTGTGTATATAAAAATATTTAGATCACTAATAACTTTTTTCCGTATACAAATATTATTTTTGTTTAGGTATTGTTTACAAAAATATATGAATCAATAATAAATTTTCGTATATAAAAATATTTAGATCAATAATAGATTTTTTTCTTCCCGTATACCATTTTTTAATCATACATATTTGGATCATAAATACAATTTTTCATATATAAAAAATATATAGATCAATAATAAATTTTTTTTCATATACAAATATTATTTTTGTTTACGTATCATTTACAAAAATATCAAAATCAATAAGAAATTTTCGTATATAAAAAATTTATATCAATAATAAATTTTATCCCATATACCATTTTTAATAAAAAATGATAAAAATTGATACAATACAATTCACTATAACATCTATAATAAAATTAACCTGACCATATTGATACACTTTTTGACTCTAACAACTCAAATTATTTTTTAATATTGACCACATCCATGCACAACTTTAACATTGGATCAAATTTTATTCAAGCTGGCTTTCTCAATTTATTTTCTATGACATTAACTTATATCTCACAACTATAGATACACTATTAATGATTTACAATTCAAAATGGTGTAGATTATTACAAACACATTAGGTTGACTCTCATCTAATGACTATATCATAATCTAATCCGGCTATGTTGCTTCAATATCAACACAATACTAAAATGCATTCTACTTTCTGCTTCAAGTCCATAAAAATATCCATAAGGTTTCTGCTGACTGAGGTTTACTCGCTGCTGCCATCGCTGCACCATTAACTGGAGCAGCTTGTGCCATCGTAAAAAAACTGCACCAAGTTGTAATTCGTTAAGCCAACAGTGAATTATAAAATTTTGATGACTAAATAAATGTCATACTATTTGTTACAATGAATAACACTATGGGAAACATAGTCTTCAGCCTACAATGCCATCCTCCTAACCTATAACCCTGGTAAATTGTAACAAATGTTTGAAACAAACGAATGTCTCTCTAGGATGTGTTATCAAATCTGAAGTGGCATATTAGGCAGCAAAAACAGCCGTTTATTTGTATGAACATTATTCCAATGCTACTGGGATCAAACCTCAATTATGAAAGAAAATTATTAATAATAATAATAATCAGATCAACTTTTGACGCTCACAAATCAATGGAAAAAAAGAATTCTTGTGGGAAAAACCAATGAGAATGGAGTTGCCTTGATGAAGATCAAGCAAATGGAGAGGTAGTATTGATAATTCCCAAGAGTCTGTGACTTAAAACCAGCACCACATGAAATGAAGATCAAGCAAATTGATCTTCATGGTACATTGTCGAAAATCAAAACAATGGTTATTGGTTACTCCAAATTAAATGCAAATACCAGGTAATAATGTTGACGGAGTAGATCAGTTCTATATATGCATAAAAACTGGAAACATGATTATGCACATAGATCCCATTGGTTTGCATACCTGTGAACTGATTCCATCGCGGTCAGTTTGAAAAGCACACCATTCAATCCCTGTCTACCCCTGCAAAATATTGAAGTTGTGAATTGCTTATGTTATGACAGTATTTATAGTGTAATCCAATCTAGAGATATCATAATCACTTTTCCTGATATTCAAAATGTTAGTGACTGCCTCTGAGTTAAGTTTTTTTGCACTATGCCATTCCTCCCTAGCTCTTGATGAATGTTGCAGGGCTGAAAAGTATTCGCCTTTTAGAAAAGCGTTAGCCGCTGCCTTAGAATGTCATGATGCTGACATGTTTAAATAACTACAACAGAAGCCCATCGCAGGAGTTCCCAAAGGTCCTGCTTACTTAAGCTTCCAATAGAGTTTATATTTGTTGTGCTGCAATCATATTACGAAAACATGATAGAATTTTGTTAATTAGGACGTCATGGATCACATTTATGAGCGTTCAAAACCGTGTCCAGCCATACCATTGCATAAGCATTCAAAACCGTGTCTAGCCTTAATCATGTAGTATTCACCCATGCTCATCCCAAACTTGCTTTCACTTAATCATCTTGCAGTGTATTTCTGTTCCCTGAAACGAAAACAAAGTCAATCATTTAACAACCAAGAAACATAGATATGTAAATAGGAAAGTGTTAGATAATATATTCCAAGATAGTCATCGTAAACAACAAACTTTTCTAGATTAAAGATTTAAGACGTAAATCAGTTTTATCTATAAAATTACACAAAAAAACATTGACTATCTACATAAAAAATATATACAACCAACAAAGTACCTAGCAACATCTATTTAATCTAGCAGTATCAAGTCATAAAACCGTATTCTTTGATGAACGACCATCAACATCAACCGTGTAACTAAAACCCTAAATCTACAAATTTCCATCCCAACGTTTTATGTAAATAAACCTTAACAACATGAGACTTACCTATTTGTCAACCAAAATATCGCTAATTTCCACAACTCCTTGGAATCTTTGATGTTCTTGACATTATCGGTCTTGACATCTTGGTTGGAAAAAAAAGGATTCGAATCTTTGATGTTCCAGTATTCTGTAATGAACTTCCATTAACATCAACATCAAAGTTGAAAAAAAACCCTAAATCTACAAATATCCATCCCAACGTTATATGTAAATAAACCCTAAAAAATAAAATATATAAAAATAAAAAAAAAGGAATCTATCTATTGTTTCAAAAGCTTGGAACAACAAAAGGAATTACAGGTTTAAAACCCCGAAAAAAGGAGGATGAATTTTAAGATTTAGGTCTGAAACCCATAGATCTACCATCATGATGTTGCACTTCATCGTAAAATTGTCGAAACCATCATAGCCACTGCCGTCTTTCCCATTTTGATTGATACACTTTTCTCTTTCTTGATTTCAGTTTGAACTATTCTCCACAACTTCCATGACAGTATCAACACTTGAAAGGAAGAAGACGAGGAAGAAGGAAGAAGAAGAGAAAGAAGGAAGTTGTTGGAGAGAGAGATAGATAGAGAGAGATACATTGAGGATGATAAGGCAATGCATTGAGAAACATGAATTTTTTTTGAAAAAGCTCTACGCTGCAGCAGGCCATCAAAAAGACCATTTCTTTATCCAAAATCCCATTTCAATAGAATTAGATAGTACATATAAATCATATATAATATTTTTTAAAGTGTTATTTTTTCTAACTATCACCTTTACTAACATTCAGTTCATATTTGGTTAGATTAGACACAAATTGCCCTCCAAAATGTGATTTGTCAAAGATGTAACCATGGTCAAGATTAAGTTTTTCACAACCATTAATTTTATTATATTATAGATATCCACACCTATTTCAAAAATAGATTTTGAGAAAAAAATTCTTACAATTCAATTAATATCACAGTCCTATTTGATAAAAAGATTAATGAAATTAAAAGTAAGTAAAAGCGAAAAAGTAAAACACACAAGGAATTTGTCTACACAGTTCCCCACCGTCGTCCTTGTGTGTGGGTACGTCTGCGCCTAATTCCAGTGGAACTAGGATAATTCTTATATACAAAATATTTAATACAATGGAAAAGTTAGAAACAAGAATACAAAATTCTCCAATTTGGTGTTGATGCTCCTTCTTCCAACCTTTGATCTTAAGCAAGATCAAATCAACCGATAGATACAACCTATTCGTCCCTTAAGCTACTTCCTTAAAAGGATTTCAAACATCCCAAGGTTCCTTGCAAAGATTTCAACCACTCCAAGGGATTTTTCACTCGAGTAAATCCGATTGCACACTATCAACACAAGATCACCGATTCTATTATCCAATTCTTGCTACTTCCTTAAAAAGATTTCAACCACTCTAAGGTTCCTTGAAAAGATTTGAAACACTACAAGAGATTTGTCACATAGACGATTCTTTCCTGTACGATCTTGCACGAAAACTCCTAATTCAACAAATGATGCTGGAGGATAAAACCGATGGTTTTTCCGAATGAAGACCCCTACAAGAACTCAACCCAAACCAATTGAAAATCTTCAATTCTTCGTCTAGATGACACCCCAACGGAACACCGTCACAATGTAATATTGGTGTGCATGCATAGATTAGAAGGTTGAATATGAAGAGAAAAAGTTGGCTAATTTTATGGTATCATCAAGTTAGAAATAATGCATGAATGTGTATTTATAGTTTGGAAAAGTTTAGGGAAAAAAGGACAAATTCGGAATAAAAAATAAAAATTTGACCAAAACATAATTTATGTGTCGACTTTAAAGTCATATGTGTCAACACATACTTTATAAAAAGGCTGCATGTGTTTCCCTGAAGGACTCTATGTGTCGACCTGAGCAAGTCAATAGCTACAAGCTTTAAAATGTGAGTAATTGTGTCGACCTAAAAAATGGATGTGTCGACACATAAAATAAGAGTATGTGTCGACCTGTATGATGCATGTGTCGACTTGTGACTTACATAAGCTCACATGCTTTAAAACGAAGTTACACGTGTCAACCTGAAACTCAGATGTGTCGATACATGCAAGGCAAAAACGTGCAAAAAGTATTTTTCAATGAGCTTGGTCAATTTCAAAGTGTTTTTTGATGGTTCCTAAAACCTATGATACAAAGGAGTGCCACAAGACAAAGAGATACAATTAATTTTACCGTTGTGTCATCTTTCCCGATTTTGACATCATGCAAAACGCCATATATTTAAGTTGTACTCACAAATTTCTCTTGCATATCTTCTTTGATGCATCAGAAAACCTCCACCACTCTTGTAGAATTTGATGCTAAGGAAATATGAAATGTCACCTAGATCTGACATTTCGAATTCGTTGCTGATATCACCTTTAAAGTCTTCGATCTTACTTTTACAGCTACTTGTTATCAACAAATCATCGACATAGAGACATAGTATAAGCAATTCACTATTTCTCCTTTTTACATATACTCTGTATTCAGTTGTGCACTTCACAAATTTCTTCTCCCTTAGAAAGCTATATATCTTCTTATTCCAAGCTCTTGGAGCTTTCTTTAATCGATACAGGGCTTTATGTAGCTTGTACACCTTTCTCTCTTCTCCATGCTTCACAACCCAATTGGTTGTGCAACATAGAGTTCTTCCTCTAAGGGCCCATTTAGGAATTCACACTTTACGTCCATCTGACATATGTACCAACTATTCATTTATGCTAGAACAATAACTAACCTAATTGTTTCGATCCTAGCCACAGGTGTAAAAACTTCATCAAAGTCAATTCCTTCCTTCTGAAGAAATCCTTTCACCACAAGTTTTTCCTTGTGTCAAGTTACTTACCCTTTGGGATTCAACTTCAGCTTGTATACCCACTTGACATCAATTTCCTTCTGGCCTTGAGACAATTTGACAAGTGACCAGGTGTTATTGTCTTTAATGGACTTCACTTCTTCATTCATTACTTTCACCCACTTTGAATCTTTTAATGCTTCAGTTGCATTGACAGGTTCGACATCTACATAGAAATCATAACGTACCAGCTCACCTTCATTATCGACCACATCATCTGATGTAGTAACACAATCTTGTAACCTTGCAGGCATGTGTCTTGTTCTCTGAGGCCAGCCTGGTCTTGGTTGATCTATAACTTCCTCTTGTTGAACTTCTCTTTCAACTTCAACTGCTTGTTCTTCGAATAAGATTCTTACTGAATCTTTCTTGACATTTTCTGTCCAATCCCCTTCCTTAAGCTCATCTATGATCATGTCCATGCTGATCACAATCTTCTTTCTCAATGGGTCAAACAACTTGTAACATCCTCTCGAATGATATCCTATTAGGATCATCTGAATCGACTTGTCATCAAGTTTTTTTCTCAACTGGTCTGGCACATGTCTATGTGCTACAAATCCAAATACATTCAGATGGCTCAAGATAGGTTTCACACCAGACCAACATTCTTATGGAGTAATTTCTTCTAGCTTCTTCATCGAATATCTATTCAAAACGTATGTTGTCATCGACACAACTTCACCCCAAAACTCTTTAGGTAAATGCTTGCCTTTCAACATACTTTTCACCATATTCACGATGGTTTGATTCTTTCTTTCTGTAGTTCCATTATGCTGTGGAGTATAGGGTTGCATCACCTCATGCACAATTCCTTTTTTTTCACATAATCTGCTGAAGTCTTTTGACACATACTCTTCACCACCATTAGTTCTCAAAACTTTGAGTTTTGGACCATTTTGTCTTTCGACCATAGACTTAAGCTTATAAAATACCTCGATCAATTCACTTTTCTTCTTGATCAGGTAAGGCCATAATTTTCGACTAAAATCATCTATGAATATGACAAAGTATTTATTACCTACATTCGAATCCACCTTGATTGATCCGCATACATCAGAGTATATGATTTCAAGAATAGCCTTCGACTTGCTTCCTGCAACCTTGCTGAAGCTGTTCATTGGCTGCTTCACCTGCACACATTCCTCACACACCTCATTTGAAATGTCGATTTCTGGCAACCCTGAAACCATATTTCTTCTTTTCAAATCTCTGATGTGTCTGAAGTTGAGATGCCCTAGTTGATAGTGCCATATCCATTCATCTATGCTAGTTGTAGTCAAAAGAAACTTGTGCTTCATCACATTAAGTTCAATCTTGAATGTTCTATTTTGAGACATGGGAGCCTTCAAGACTAACCTTCCATTTGCACCGACGACTCTCACCATATTGTCCTTGACAAACACTTTATAATTCTTTTCGATGATCTGCCCTATACTGAGAAAATTTCTCTTCATGCCTGGTATATACAATACATTAGAAATTAATTACCTCTTTCCATATTTCCTCATAATCTTAACATTACAAATACCTTCATCTACTAGGGTATTTCCATTTGTGGATTTCACTGTGTTCTTCATCGAGGTTTTTAAGTTGATAAATCAATCTTTCTTTCCAGACATGTGTGATGATCATCCTAAATCCAAGTACCGTTGGTCCTTGAATTTCTCTTCATATTTTGTTGTGACCATCAACATCATCTCTTCTTCTTCATGTTTTGCAAACTTTGCATCACTTTCTTGATTTTTTCGCTTTTCTGGAGAGTCACTAGAATAGTGACCATACTTCTGACAATTGAAAGACTGAATGTGACTCTTGTCAGACGTTCGACCACCACCTCTTCCTATATTTGCAACACCACCTCTTTGGTTTCCTTGGTATGGTCTTCTCTGATTCGACATGTTTTCTTTGTGCTGGTTCCCTCTACCAGTCGAATTTTTGTAGCCTCATCTACCTTTATTGTCGAACCATTTTCCTTTATCTTTCTTATCTTTTGCTGATTGAGTTTGCAAAGCCACATAACTCTTTGAATTTTCTGCATCTCTTCTGTTGTACCCAAAAATTTGCCCTCTCATTTTATCAAGATTTCTCATCACAAGACTCTCTGAACTCAAGACCAAGCTAGGGTTTGCTCTGCTCAAAACATCCTCTTGCATTGTTGACCTAAATTAGGGTTTGAATTTGCACAAGGAATTTTGGACTTCTAATGCTCAATGTGACTTTCATACTCCATTTTGGACTTATAAGATTGCTCATACCAAGTTTCAGGCCTTGACTCAAATTTTTGCCCAGTCAATTGAATAATTGACCTAAAAATCAGCTGTATTGGGGAAAAAGTCAACTGTGGCCAATTTACAGTCAAACCTCATAAATTTTGATCCAAATCAACATTATAAGCTCATATGAACCATTTGATCAAGTTTGGACCACAACTCCTCAAGAAATTTGATCAGATCTTCAAAAGGGCAAAATGGTCATTTTTAGGGTTTTGACTGCAGAAGGGAAATTTTTGACTTTTCACCTAGCCAATGGCAAATTGGGTTCAAGCATGGATTCAAGGACTCAATGACATCATCTTGACCTATTCACAAGGTTCAAAAGATCTCAATTGCATTGGATTGACAGATGAATTTTCCAGTCAACTGATAAAAAATCAACTGTACACTGAAAAGTCAAACTTTGACTTTTTGGTCAAAATCAAGTGCCAAGGGT